AGCATTCACTGCTATACAAGAGGATTAAAATCCTATAGAAATTCAGCTTTCTTTTTTTTTTTTTTTGATTTCTAATGAAATGTTCCCGTTTCTTAGACCATTCTTTAGCTTTTGGAAGGAATCTTTCGGTAATCCGTTACGCGATTCGATTTCGGTTTTAAACATCCTTCCCAGTTATTTAAACTTTAATACGTAACTCGCATCTTAGGCTTTTTTTTTTGTCATTTTTCTAACAGCCATACTTTCTGTCTTCTTACAGTTGTTAGCAAATCTTTTTATCTGTTTTATTTACTAACTTATCGATGAGGTTTGGGGGTTCCTTTCAGTGTATGCCATCAACATAGTATCACCCGTGTGTCTTATACTGTTAAGATTACGCCCACCAATAATATATATTTTTAAGCAAGGCGGGAATGCCACGAGCAGGGAGGGGTTTACAAAGAGTGAAAATGAGAGAAAAGACTGGGTAGAGGGAGGGGACTGAACAAAAGATAAAGATGAACGGGGTACAAGTCAACAGAAGATGGCGGTTGACGCTGCATTTAAATTTCTAAAGATTTTGTTATCACGGACGCAAGTAAGAAGAAGTGAGTTCCACAGTCGGGAAGTGCGAGAAAAGAAACTGTTGGAGTATAAATGGCGTTTGCATTTAACTATTTCAACAGTAAAAGGGCGGGACCTAGATGCCAATCTAGTAGCACGCTTAAATTCATGTAGTTGAGGCATCAGGGGAAAAGGCTCGTCAGAGCAGTTGCCATGAAACTTGTAGAAAAGACAGAGGGAAGCCACATCAGGTTCGTGAGAAAGTCAGAATCGATTACATTGCAGACCTTTCTTTGGATTTTGTCGAGAATCTCGAGATGAGTAAGCAGGAGCATCAGACCAGGTATGGTAACAGTATTCAATGCACGGACGAATGGTAGATTTAAAGACGTCTAAGATGGATTCTGACGAGAGAAAAACCTTCTGGCACGACACAGAGAACCAACTTTCCTTGCAGTAGATGCAGCTATTGATTCAATGTAGTTGTTCCACTTCAAGTCAGTTAAAGACGTGAAGTCAAGTAGGCGCAGTGAGCCGCTCTCCTGGAGTCGAGCATTAGCCACGCTGATGGCGGGCAGGGAAGTTTCTGTAGAGTAACACTATAGAGGCTGAATAAATCTCTGTAAAAGACACATCCTTGGCCTACGCCACTTTCAATTTTGTGTATCGACTCAATTCATTTTCTGTTCGTATGCAGGCGGTTTTCTCCCAGTGTACGTTCCTGATTATTCTGACATACTTTCAAAATAAATCTAGGTTTGTTAACCACAAATTACCCATGAATTAATAAAATATGTTGGTGTATTATGATATTCATAGCCGTTCCTGAACCCACAACAAATAGGCGATGTTAATTCAATGATTAAACTTGTGACTTAGCTGGTGATACATACATACATACATACATACAGTGAAACAGTCTGTCTGTGGATGACATTATATAGGCTCCTGAAAAATTAATTTCGGTTGAGCTCTCTGGGGGAGGAAGTGTGGGTTTGTAAACAGTGACTATTACGGCTGATATAGCAAGACTCTTCGGTAAAGCGAATCGAGTCCTTTCAGTCACCGTGTGTTTATCTAAAAATAATTTATCTTCATGCTTGCCGTGCGCCGACGGCTTAGTGGTAGAATCTCCGACTGACGCCAATTCAGTTTCGATCCTAGCTGGAGGTAACCGGAAGTCTAGCCACACTGAAGAGCTGCGATATAAGCGAAACAGTCTGTCTGTGGCTGGCATTATATATATATATATATATATATATATATATATATATATATATATATATATATATATAGGTAGAAGACTTTAAACAAGGACATTGATATGATTAAGGACTCGAAAGAGGTTTGGATCAGAGCAGATAAATCAAAAACATATGCAAATGGGATCCTGCTAAATACTATAAAAATCCTTAAGAACAAAATCACTGATAATTATAAAAAAGATAGATTCAATAATAGAATTCTGGAGATAGACAATGTAACAGGTGAGTTAGCTAGTAATCTCAATATTAGCGATAGAATAGCAAAGATCCCTACACAAGACGCTTACATATTATTCAAAGATCTACTTGGATTATATATATATATATATATATATATATATATATATATATATATATATATATGTATATATATATATATTGGTGTGTGTGTGTGTGTGTGTGTGTGTGTGTGTGTGAAATATAGTTTAAGAGCACAAAAACTGCATTCGGCTCCACAATTATTCCCACTTAACCGCCTCTAGAATAATTCGAAACACAACCGTTACCGCCTATTAAATTAACCGTTAGAAAAATACAGTGGACTGCCCACAATGCATCACCGACCTGTATATATAAATAGTCGAGCAAACACACAACGTACATTGCCTTACGATTGCATTTAGCATGAAACAAACTGTCGCCTCTGAGTGTTGACTTCAATGATTTCTTGTTTTTGTCTATGCGGACGTGGTTTGTTAATTTGTTTATTATTTTGCTTTGTTTTTTTTTTAATTAATTTAATTTACTTGTTTTTGCTTATTTATTTATTTTCTTAAGTACACATTTTGTTTCTCAACAGTACCATAGCGCCGAGTTGTATGCACGATGCAATCATCAGGTGCGGTTTGAAAGCGCGTTGTATAGTCCATTAAATTCAGAGTTGTGCTACCGGTGAAAACACGATCTATATTTGTTGGTAGTATAAATTCAAAAGTCTCTTATTCATCGAGCACTGTTTTATGAACACTAGCACTCATTGTACGATGCTAAAATTTCCCTTTCCCTCTGCCGTGCGCTGAGAGCTCAGGAGCAGAAACTCCGACTGATGCCAAATCGGTCGGGTTTCAACCTCGGCTTGAAGAAATGGGATGTCTATGCGCACTGATGAGTTTTGATACAACGAAACAGGCCTGTATGTGGATGGCATTATTATGCCCTCGATAATTTCGGTTGAGCACTGTTGAGAGAGAAGGTAATTCTAAACACCAACCGTCTCCGCTAACGCAACACTCTTCATTAAATGAATCGAGCCCTATGGCCGTCTGGCGTTTGTTTACATTCGTAAAAAATAATACGCTAGAATTTCCTTTTTCCCTTTTCTGGGCTCAGGGGTAGAAACTTCGACTGTTTCGATCCCGACTTGAAGCAATCAGATGTCTAGCCGCACTGATGAGGTGTGATACAGCGAAACAGGCCTGTATGGGTATGATATTATATATATATATATATATATATATATATATATATATATATATATATATACTAAAAATAACTTTTTGAAAGTGACAATATATATATATATATATATATATATATATATATATATATATATATATGGATATATTTTTAAGCATTACGCGCCAAGCAAGGCGTGAAGCCACTATGATGCAGGGGGTTGCAGAAGATTTGGAGCAAGAGCAGATATGAGTGATAGAAGAAAGGATGAGGAGAGGGATAGTGGATAGATCAAGGTAACTGAAGATGTCGATTGACATTACATTTGAATAGTTGGAGATTATAGCTCTCAGGGAAATAGTAATTGGGAAGGGTGTTCCATAGGTGAGAGGTGCGAGGTATGAAGCTATTGGAGTAGAAGAGACGGCTACATTTAAAAGTTTCTACAGTGTAAGGGTGGAAGCGGGATGCCAGCCTCGTAGGGCGCTTGAATTCATGGAGTCGGGGAACCAGTGAAAGCAGCTCATCGGAGCAATTACCATGAAAGTATTTGTAGAAAAGACAGAGAGAGGCGACGGCGCGTCTGTGAGAGAGTGACTGTAGACGAGACGCCAGATCAGGGCCAATTATATTATATATCCGTCTCTGGATCTTGTCAAGAACTCCGAGGTAAACAGAAGGTGCCCCAGACCATATATGGCAGCAATACTCCATGCAAGGACGAATGGTTGATTTGTATATTTGAAGTATCGATTCCGGGGAGAAAAATTTTCTGGCGCGGCACAGAGAGCCAAATTTCCTCGCGGTGGGAGAAGCAATTGACTCAATGTATTTGTTCCATCTCAGGTCAGCAGTCAACGTGAGACCGAGCAGACGCAGGGAGTTGCTCTCAAGAAATGCTCCTGAAAAAAAAGTTGAGCTCTCTGAGGGAGTGTCTATTACGTCTATTATAGCAAGACTCTTCGGTAAAGCGAATCGAGTCCTCTCAGTCACTGTGAGATTATCTAAAAATAAATACGCTAAAATTCACCTCCATCCCCGCTGTGCGCGACGGCCTAATGGTAGAATCTCCGACTGACGCCAATTCAGCCGGGTTTCGATCCTAGTAACCGGACGCCTAGACACACTGAAGAGCTGTGGTACAGCGAAACTGTCTATCTGAGGATGACTATATATATATTATCTCTTTAAACGTTATATATAGTGGTTACCAATATTTGAGTAGACGCTCCGTTTATTTTTAAAAAACTATATTTATTTATTTTAGTCTGAATATTATAGAACTCTTATTTAAGAAAAAGATGCGCACTCCGGCCTTGCTTGATTGGCAACGCCATTCGTGGCCTAGTCGGTCTAAAACACGTCCGATCAAACGACGGCTTACCTAACCAGGAGGACATAGGTTTGAATCCTGCAGGAGGGAGTATCATTCTGTAATACGATTTCTAGAATATTTAAATCGGAATACGAAAATGAATAAATTTACTGATTATTCAATAAACGGACTGTCTACTCAAATACGAGTATCCACTAAAAATAACGTTTATAGTGATAAAATCTATCGGATTAATAAATAAAAAATCCATAACCTTATATATATATATATATATATATATATATATATATATATATATATATATATATATATATATATATGTGTATGTGTGTGTGTTTTGTTATTACACCAAAGTTTGAATACTATAGTGAAGTTGATTGGTTGTCATGTTATGAAGATTATACATTATTATTTTTTATTGGATTATGATAACAATGGAAATGAGAATTCCTCGCTGACAAATGGCAAATCGATTATATATCTATTTTTTTATATTCCCTTTCAGTATCTGTATAAGCGGAGGTTCTGTTCATTATCTATCTATCTATCTATCTATCTATCTATCTATCTATCTATCTGTCTGTTCATATCTATCTATCTATTTATCTATCTATCTATCTGTTCATATCTATCTATCTATATATCTGTCTGTCTGTTCATATCTATCTATCTATGTATCTATCTATGTATCTATGTATCTATCTATCTGTCTGTTCATATCTATCTATCTATCTATCTATCTATCTATCTATCTATCTATCTATCTATCTGTTTGTCTCTCTGCTCATATCTATCTATCTATCTATCTATCTATCTATCTATCTATCTATCTATCTGTCTGTTCATATCTATCTATCTATCTATCTATCTATGTCAGTCTTCATTATCTATGTATTAATCTATCTACCTTTCAGTTTAATCATATTGTTTGTCAGTGCATCATTTTATTTAAACATTTACATACAGACACTTTTCATTAATTCTTTTACTTGGAATATTATGAATACACTACAAAAACACAATTTCACAGAGATAATGTGTTTAATGTATAATTATCAACAGCTATCATTTTTGCGACTTGATATAATTAGAAATTAATTATTGTCCATGAGACTCACTCAGCATTGTCCCCGATTCATCACACTGTATTGTAAAGATTGTTTCAATATGGCGCTGACTGAAAGTAGAACAGGTTGCAAATAATTAAACTGGTGAGGATAATTTTTGATGTCATTATCAAATTGCAAATGGCCATTAGAAAGTCTGCAGTTGACATTTGTCTTACATTCAGTCTAGTCTATGTCAGATCACTTTGTTGGACATGTAAAATAGAAAATTAAATACGAAAAACTGAAGTAGGCAAATATCTAAAATACTAAAATACTAGCGGCTGATTGATACACTATCATAAATGCAGACGACATTTTCATACGAGTGAGGGCTGACGAGTTCTCGGCTGAATCAAGAAGAAATTCGTACCGGTTACAAGTAGTATCTGTTCTGCTCATTTTAGATGGCAGAAGGCGCCCCGTCGCACGGATTCCTTCCCCATTGTATAAAGAGATGTGGGGTCGTTGTAATATCAACGCCAGCGTGACAGTGGTCGTGGGGATTGGGTAATCTTTGTCCTTGACCTATCTGTATGCGTATGGGTTCCCCTACATAAAACAGACCTTGTATCACATTTGGCTTTAATGTGGAGGTTTAAGAAATAAAGTCAAGAAAGAAGAAAAAAGATTTTTGATTGGTTGATAAAGCTGACAAGTTCTTATGAAGTCTTACACGCACAAGCGCTTACGGAAAGATCCTTTAAAAAATGTTCTTTTTTTTTTTCAAATAAAAATCGTTTTACTTGTTTCAATTTTAGTCTGTTTATATCTATCTATCTATCTGAGTCTACACATATCTATCTATGAGTCTGCACACTTCTATCTATCTATCTCAGTCTACACATATCTATCTATGAGTGTGCACACATCTATCTATCTATCTATCTATCTATCTATCTATCTATCTATCTCAGTCTACACATTTCTATCTATCTATCTATCTATCTATCTATCTATCTATCTATCTATCTATCTATCTATCTCAGTCCTACACATATCTGTCTATGAGTCTGCACACATCTATCAATCTATCTATCTCAGTCTACACATATCTATCTATCTATGAGTCAGCACACATCTATCTATCTATCTATCTATCTAT